AAAAAAACAAAAAAAAAAAAAAAAATGTATACTGTAAAAGTAAATTGTAAAATCTCCAAAAAGAACGAACTCGCGACTGTCAGACTTCGAAGCTTCACACTTTAAAATGAGATCGAATGGATCTTCCCTTTTTCTAAAATTACATCAGTCTAAATTAAAAACCAGATAACAGATAACGATTCGAATTCATGAAAGTCGATAACAAGGTAAAACAACCGAATCAGACGTGCGTTCAACGGCCAAGCGAATAACGTTATAAAAAAAAAAAAAAAAAAAAGAAAGAAAAAAAAATGGCAACTTGAGGAACGTTGGAGTTACCTTCAGCCTGTTCAATAGATCCAGCAGACGTTTGATTCAAATTGTTCTCAGCTTGGTTGGCCATGGTGTTCAGCTCGTGGCTTTGACGAAGAACGGACACGCGGTAGAAATAGTTGCGCCAGAAGTTCTCTTCGGAAATTCTGCAGGGCACAGAGTGAGTAGCGTATTAATTTAAGGGCGTGAATTCGTTCCCGGGCGAGTCTTGATACAGAGGGATTCGCCATCGGTTTCCGATTCGGCCATAATCGGACACCAGGTTGGAAATTGCCAATTAATGCCAGCCTCACCGCGGACTGATTTAATTTAGACTGCGGGTAAATAATCGATTCGTACGTAGGGACACATGTATACGTGGTGAGGATATTCGAATATGCGTATCGGGGCCATTACTACCTTACTTGGCAATTAGGGACTCCGCTTCCTGAAGCCAGCCTCTGGGAATTTGCAGAGACGTTGGCAAGAGATGTACGAAGTTACAGTCAGATATATGTCGTGATATATTTCATAATTGCAGTCGACGTGACGTAGTTCAGAGTTGGTACGAGTGGCGAAGGTTTAATGTCACGACGAACTCTCGCAGTTATGTGAATGTCGATCATTTAACGAGCATACGGAGCACACGTGTAGGAGGAACGTATGGTATAATTGGACAGAAGAAGGTTACTTGCTTGCAAGTTCCCTGTAAAGAGAAACAACTTATTTCAAGCAAGCACGGAACAAAAAAAATGTTCTTGCTGCTGTTCTTGAATCTTGAAGTTGATCCTCTATTAATTTCTTTTCTGTTGAAAACTAAACTGGTTTCAATCTTCAATTCATTACGAATCAATAATAGGAAGACGATCCTACACACGCGAAGAGAACCGACACGATCCCCTTCTTGCGTTATTGACGAGGGGAGGAAATTTGGTAACAGGCCAAGTATAGATGAATCTGACGGATTCCCGACTGAATACTTTTTAAAATAGGCGCCCGATAAACTGCTCCACATGCAGAAATAAATCAGAAAGTAGAACGAAACTTTTTTTCGTTTCAAGTACATACTCGGCGATGATTTACAAATGTTATGTCGATGATAAAATGAATCCATTTGAAGAAATGATTAAACATATATAAATAATTTCCATCAATGTTATAAATCACAATAATCCTCTCGATTTTGAAAGTACTTAGTGGTTTATAAAAAAGTTAGAAGGATTTGTTGAGATTCTCTCTTCGAGAATGCTTCTGACACAGTTAAAACAGAGTTTTATAGGTTTTGTAAACATGTAAAGAGCCAGTTTAATATTGTTGTCGTCGGAATATCATCCTCTTTAAAATTTCGTTGTGTATAAAATTGTTGCTTATTACATGGTTGTGCCAGGTTATTTAACTCGAGTTAGAGCACAGTGTAATTGCAAATTGAAAGCTGAAAAGCTCAATGCGTGGACTTTATTCGATTACACGCGCGTTTTAACTGTTTAGAAATGATTATTCTGCAGATGCGTATGTGGAAGTTAATAGTAGAAACGAGTCTATATTTTCTTCTTTCAAGTATATTTCTCCTTAAACTTGCCTCGCCATTGTAAGTGAGAATTTACTAAAAATAACGATCGATCGGTCAGATTGACTTTGAATGTCGTGAAATGCTCTGTAAATTTCTCTCTCTGCTATAATCGAGATTATAATTTCGAGCTCGCGGACTGGCGGAGTTTCAGCATCGGCTGCCGAAATTGTTTGCTACGATACGAACGAAATTTCCAAAGTTGTGATTAGTTGAACGACAATTTGGCGGGAAATTACTTACACTTTCGGTACAAGCTGGAAACGCATGTTCTCTAAGTTGGGATCGAGAGCAAGAGTGGCCTGGGCCATTGGTTGCACGGCTTCAAAGTTCCATGGGAAATCGACTTCCTTCGGTGGTGATTTCAGGAAGTTACGCTGATCCTGAAATCAACATTCCCCGTTGCTTCATCATGCTTTGTCACGTCACGCGACATCTCAACTCTAGCTCTAAGAATCAAATAACTAAAGAAACAATCTGCCGAGACATCGACAATTCAATTCTTCCTTTCGATCAATTTAAACGATCAAATATTTCACTTTTTAATACTGGCAAACTATGAAAGGAAATGTTTTTTTCTCTTCACATTTTCGTACTTTTTATTTTCATAATTGACGTCTGAATTCTAGAATTTCAAAAATATCTTCCTTATATTTCGTTTTTATATCTTTTAATCCTGCGTCGTGATATTTTAATACTCATTGTGTCTTCATCTAAATTCTACACAATCTTATGAAATTATGGGAGAAAATATTTTTCGTATCTTTTAATTTTATGTTTAATTTCATATACTCTTTCGTCATTGTGTCTTCATCCAATTCTACAATTTTATGATAAAACTTCTTATGTTTTTATATTTTTCAATTTTACGTTACATGTTCTACGATATTTTATCATCACTAAGATTCCGTCTGAATTCTACAATTTCATGAAATTCAACGAAATTGAAGTATTTCTGATAAATACTTGCTTAAAGACGACGAGAACTATCTTTAGCTAAGTGCTATGCTTAAAAGATATTTGCGAGGAGTTTTAGCATATACTTAACAGATCAGCGAAAGAGAGATCTCTGCAGAGTTAACGAAATCGTTGTTCCAAGAAGTTCAATTAAAGAAGGATCGATTAGTTTAGTTTAATAGGACAGAGTTTTACTCTATTAGCCGAGAGGGAAGCAATTGCAACTTCGGTGATTGCTAATCGTGACATGAATGCAGCTAACATTGTAAGATAACAATTAACACCTGATAATCTCTGTCTACAATGCGAACAAGTGATTACGACTGTTGCGATAAAATACTTCAACATTGAGAAGCTTTTGAAATAAACTAACACGTATAATTTTTAAATATATAACTTTCGTTTATTTTTGTGTGATATTAAAAAGCTATTATATTTGAATAATCCGAAATCTGCTTTCTTTATTTTTCAAGCTATACTCTGAACGCGAGTTCGCGATAATTATCTACTAACAAACAATTGGAGCAATATGAATAATTTTATCGACGAAACACGTCAATTTAATAATTAATACACCACTGTATATTTAATTTGCTTAATTGCAATGTTTAAATGATGTCGCTCTTAATCACAAATCGGCCATTAATTTCAAGAACACGGCTAACTGTTAGAATCATTTATGCGTGCAATATTTCTAAAAATCGACTAATTGACATTATCGTTGATTTTTAATCGAAATTTCGATCCGTCTCTTACACATCCTATGGGAACTCGCAATTGTATCGGACTCGTCCGATAATATCGTCAAATTGACACGACGATCTCAGTTACAATTCATGGCTATTATTAATTTGCGAATCAAATTAAACATTTGCATATCTATGACGATTTATAGACCGTCGCGTGATATCAATTGGCCCGTCTCGAAACCATATTGGATGCCGATGAATCGAACCGAGGATTCGAGAACTATTCATCTATGCCTGTGTCTATGTTGTATATTTTTGCAGAGGAAAAGAAAAAAAAAAGAAAAAAAATATTATCGTGTGAGAAACTTGAAATTTGAAAAACCTGTCAACATTTTTACTGAGTTTAAAGTTATTCCATTTCGTTTCGTTCTAAATTTGCTTTTCACAAGCAGTTTGCAATCGAAATCTCTATTCTACTTTATATTATATTTATCAGTCCCCTTTGACCAAACACCGCTCACGCATGCGAATGACATAATTTCCCACACACATAATCGTCGCAGTGAAGCGCACCATGGTTGCGATCATCTTCAATCCATTGACCGTCTCGTGATCGATAAAAAAAAAAAAAAAAAAAATAATAAGCAGTTCAAAGAGGACACATTGTACCAGAGGATCACGTTTGAACGCGAATGCTCTATATCTTTCGATTCGGTAGACGAATCCTCGCCTCAGACTTTCTGACCCAACGCGCGATATAATATGCACTCGAGAACTCGCGCGGCGAGAAAGAGTAAGAGGTCATTGTGCGCTCCAGGTGAATCCAATTGCGGTGCACTCGCCGGCAATCTGGCTGTGATTTTCATCCACGTGTGCCACATGTTCTCCGCTCTAGAGCAGAGCGAGCGTAAAGAAGGAATTTACTCACCATTGACAGGGACAGGCATTCTTCGCGCAGCACGTCCTCGTTCGGGGCACCGACCCACGGTGCCACTGCCTCACCCTTCTCTGTGCTTTTGCTGGCGATGAAAGCCTCCTGTTCTTTGTTCAATTCGGCAACCAATCTCTGCAATTGCATTAAATCCGCGCGTTAGAGAGCAGCCCCGTCGCTACGTGGAACACAGTGGAGAGTCTGCGGTTCATGCATGTGTGTGTGTGTGTGTGTGTGTGTTCATGTGTGTTTGCTTTGCTAGAGGCTACGCCACGAGATAGAGAGCAATTAACGGTGTCATCGATGGGTGACTATGCCACGCTAGCGGTTAGAGCTATTTCCGCCGCTATACGCGACAAGTTTCTCGCGGTGAAAAGCGGGAACAGCACCTGACAGGGAGGCAGAGTTCGTTCACCTCCCGTTGGTTAATTAGATCGTTCTTCTTATCGTATTTTCGTCGATAACCGCCGTGACCCGCTGCTAAGATCTTATTGATCACGTCGCCAACCAGCCAACCAGCTAACCAGCTGGATGATACGCTGAATTTAGAAGCAGGGAATAGAAATAGCTACGGGCATTCGATTAGAAACGGGGAGATAATTAGCTTCGCTGTATGGTCGTCATCTTCTCTCTCTTTTTTTTTTTCGAATTTCAGAACATCTGGCACGGATTTGGCGAAACTGGACACGGACGATGGTTGAATTGGGGGGGGGGGACGATAATTGGGCGTACGTTGTTGTAATTGAAATCTGGGACACACCCTGTTGGTATTCTTCTCATTTAACGAGAAGACAAGCTCTAGGATTGGAAATTTTTGTAATATTGAGATTTAGAATATTTGTTGTTGTGTTGGAACGATTATATTTGTATTTAAAATTTAGAATTAATTATAATGTGATAATATAGTTATATTTGTATTAATTATAATATAATTATATTGTTATAACAATTATATTTGCGTTGTAATGTGGTTGTTCTTTATGAGATTTGGAATATTTTATGGTAAGTCAATAGAAATAATAAATGCGAAAATTGGAGTAGAATAGGGACAAGAAACCCTATAGTAGAATACTGTGTTTTCACTCATTTTTGTTTTGTTTGTTTTGTCATGAAAAGTCCAAGATTTTCAACAATACATTTAGATTTATTCGAAAATTATCTTTTATTTCTGCTTCTTCTATATCAAGTACCATGTTCTGTTCTCTGTCAATATATTTCATCATGAAAAGTCCAAAATTTTCAGTAGTACATTTAGACTTATTCAGAATGTTTGCTGTATCAATAAAATTATCTTTTATTTCTGTCTTTTTTTTTTGTATCATGTTATCAATACTTTATCAATACTTTTTAATCATAAAATAGTCATGTTATCAATACTTTATCAATACTTTTTAATCATAAAATAATCCAAGATTTTCAGTGGCAGATTTATGTAAATATCTAGATTTATTCAAAACATTTGTTGTATCAATAAAATTATATTTTATTCCTGCTCTTTTATATTATTCCTGTTTTCTGTTAATATATTTTATCGTGAAAAGTCCAAGATTTTCAGTAGTACATTTAGACTTATTCAGAATGTTTGCTGTATCAATAAAATTATCTTTTATTTCTGTCTTTTTTTTTGTACCATGTATTATCAATACTTTATCAATACTTTTTAATCATAAAATAGTCCAAGATTTTCAGTGGAAGATTAATTTAAATATCTAGATTTATTCAAAACGTTCGTCGTATAAATAAAATTGTTTCTCAATCATTTAATTTCTACTTCTACTCAATTTCTACTTTTACATATGTATAATTTCTTTTAAAACAGTCTCTCTACTTCTAGTCCATTTCGTTTCTCATTCTCACTTCCAATGTACGTAATAATTTTATGCAGGATAAAAGTGAGACGTACGCTCGTTGTGCATACGCGCGTAATACAAATTGCTTGGAATAGAAAAAAAAAAAAAAAGAGATCTTATCGGGAGGGAACAATCGCGTGAGTAACTGACGTGAATCAAAGTCAGCTTCGCGCTGACCTTCCT